GATGAGCCCTGAGACCCCAGCCGAAAGATCCCACGGCCGCAAGCGTGAGACCCAAAAGCCTCAACCCAGCATCCTCAGGCTATAGGGGTTAAATCTAGAAACCCGAAACCCGAAATCCGAAACCCTGAACCCTGAACCCTGAACCCTGAACCCGAAACCCTAAACTACTAAACCCTAACCCTAAACCCTAAACCCCTTTTCACCTGTCTGCCGCTTGCAGGATGAGGGAAGGGGTGAAGGTAAGGGTTGCAGGTCGAGGTCAGATTTAGGGTTCAGGTCTTGGGGGTTCCTGTGGCACCCCATTCCCACACGAAATCCTAAACCACCAGCCCGAAGCAACAACTCCTTACGCAATGTAACGGCTCCGAATACGATTGACGGACCCAAGTCCAAACTTTAAACCCCCAAACCCGCTAGAGCCTCCCCTCCCCAAGCCTAAATGCCCTAATATAAGGGCCTTAAGAATTAGAAAATGGCTGTGGGGAGGCGGGGAGGGGGGGGGGGGAATTCTAGTATATTTGTATAGGGGCCAGAGGGGAATGTTATTAGTATTTGGTCATATTAAATCCGACCCCTATAGTCGGCTCGTCAATCAAAAACATAAGCGCAAACCTGAAGGCCGCAGGCCCTACTTGGAGGTTCACGGTTCACGGTTTAGGGTTTAGGGTTAGGGTTTAGGGTTTAGGGTTTAGGGTTTAGGGTTTAGGGTTTAGGGTTTAGGGGTACTTATAACTGTACTTATAACCATATTAGGGCAGTTCAGGGGCTTACGAATGAGTTATACGCGAAGTTATAATTGGTCAATAAGTACCATGAACCTCCAAGTAAGCGCCCAATGGACTGATTGCGGACTCGGCTCTACCGCTGGGTGATGACTTTAGGGGAAGTATTTTAGGATTTAGGGTTTAGGGTTTAGGGTTTAGGGTTTAGGGTTTAGGGTTTCTAACTGGCTATGAACCGGTGCGTGTAACCCAACCCCTTTTCCTTTTCTTGAACCCAGACTCTTGTCCTATCCAGGTCCTAAGCCCTAAACCCTTAAAGTTAGAACTACCCATGAACCTAGGAACCCTAAGCCCTTAGAGTTTTAACTACCCATGAATCTAGGAACACTAAACCCTTAGAGTTAGAACTACCCATGAACCTAGGAACCCTAAACCCTCAAAGTCAGAACTACCCATGAACCAGGAACCCTAAACCCTTAAAGTTAGAACTGCCCATGAACCCAGGAACCCAGGACCCTGAGAGTTAGATCTGAACCTCGGGGCGTTGCTAGACCCAGGAACAACGTAGGAATAGACAGGGCACCCTTTTCGGCTTAAAGTAGGGCCTTGTAAGGGACCCTAAACCCTAAAAAAAGGGAATAAGGGCCTGCTCTGGGTTCTAGCCCTAAACCCTAGACCCTAAACCCTAAACCCCAAAAAAGGGGAATAAGGGCCCTACTCTGGGTTCTAGACAGCGACCTTCAGCTTCAGCACTGGCAGCTTCATGAGGCGGCCGCACCTCCATGTCTCCCAAGGGCTTTGGGGGGGCGTTTAGGGTTTAGGGTTCAGGGTTTAGGGTTTGGGTTTAGGGTTTAGGGTTTAGGGCTTAGGGCTTAGGGCTTAGGGTTTAGGGTTTAGGGTTTAGGTCCACACGATACTCAGCCGGGAAGGCTGGAAAGCAAGAGCTTTCTCACTGACACGAGTCGAGAAACACAAAGTAGGCTCAAACGGTTGGCGTCTCTCTCTCTCTCTCTCTCTTTTCTATTTCCAGTGTCAAGAGAAGGAGGCAAACAAACTTTAACAAAACGAGGATGTTAGTCACCAAGACTAGTCATGACCTGCATTCTCTCACGTGGGAATTGCAAAAAGCCTCTTGGGCTTCTACCCGGAAGCCACAGCGCCCCAACCCTACACCACACACCCGCAATCCTGAACCCTAAACCCTAAAGTCTAAACCCTGAACCTTCTAAACCCTAAAGCCTACACCACAAACCCGAAATCCTGAACCCTGCTCTGGGACCCAGGCTGGTCGGACGATGCCTCAGCTATCTCGCCCTGCTCCGCCAAGCCCTGGATTGTTAAGTGCCTAAATAAACCAGGTGAAGGGTTTGGGGGTTTTGGGCTTACTTGGAAGCCCTTGTGACTTAGCAAGTAGGAGTAAGGTTGGGTAATGGGGGACAGAAAAAGGTTTCTAGGGGTTACTAAGTAGACTTACTAATTACTAAGTTAAAAGGGTCCAAGTAGACCTTTAGGTTTTAGATTGGCTTTTTTTTGCCACCCGTCTGTTGCTGCTCCACGGAGTGAAATCTCGACGCGCGCACTCGCACAAGACAGGCAAGGCTTCAATGTCCATCGAAGGAAAGAGAAAACTTCCATTAGGAAAGAGAAAAACCGCTATAGGCCCAACGGTTTACAGTCCTCCGATTACCCGCGCTTCCCTGAAACACCACCAGAAGAATGAGTGCGGCTGAAACCGCTAAGGCCACATTTAAGGTTTGGGGTTTGGGACTCGGGGCTTGGGGCTTGGGGTTTTTCAGGCACAGCCAAACAAAAGGCCCTGCGAAACCTAAACTCCCAATATGTGTTCATGGAACGACCTGAAACCAGGCGCCGTGCCTCCACGACCTTCAGCGCATGCCCATCGGCTTCAACATCCTCCCACACTTCTTGGCTGAGCGTCTCACAACAAATCAAGGCTGGATTCATCACTTCTAAGCTGCTTGCACCTGCAATACCAGGAATTCGGATTTACATAAAGCTATTGGCTTTGGAGATATTTTGGGCTTCAGAACCTTGGGCTTTCGGCGCGAGAAAGTACAACAGGTCCTTCAGCGCCAGGTTTCGAAAACACTGCAAACTCTCTGACTCTGACTTCATTCAGCCCGGATTTCTGTGCGCTATCCCAGATCGGCTCTTCTTCTTCTTCTTCTTCTTCTTCTTCTTCTTCTTCTTCTTCTTCTTCTTCTTCTTCTTCTTCTTCTTCTTCTTCTTCTTCTTCTTCTTCTTCTCTTCTTCTTCTTCTTCTTCTTCCTCTTCTTCTTCTTCTTCTTCTTCTTCTTCTTCTTCTTCTTCTTCTTCTTCTTCTTCTTCTTCTTCTTCTTCTTCTTCTTCTTCTTCTTCTTCTTCTTCTTCTTCCTCCTCCTCCTCGAGCCATACCCTACCCTAATTAAACCGAACCTTAACCCTAAACAAAAATGTCGGGGGTATTGCCACAAGGACCCCCCGAAAAAGTTGGCGCGTCGCACTCTTGAAGGGAGTTGGTACTTTTAGCCAAAGGGCTGAAGGGCTAAAGGGTTTAGGGTTTGGGGTTTCGGGCCCTTCCAGCCAGCACCTTACACCCGTGTCACGCGAACACCTCGGTTCCGGGAAACCCGAACTTAAGCCCGCATACCCAAAGCCTGAAAACCCTAAACCCCACTCCCTGCAAGCCCCAAAACCCGTTAAAAACCCCCCCCCCCCCCCCCCCCCCCCAAAAAAAAAAAAAAACACACACACACACACACATAAAATAAGAATACCCCACACACACACACACACGAAAACAGAATCATACAACATAAACGGAAAACAAAAAACTAAACACCCTCAGGTCAGAACGTGCGCCCCCAGGGCTGGAAACCCAGCCTCACCTCTGCAAGACCTGTTCGACCAGACTCATTTCGGGGTTTCCGAAAATAGGGTTTACGGTTTAGGGTGTAGAGTTTGGGTTTGGGTTCAAGGTTTTCGGGGTCTCTTTAAGAAGATCTCTAGATCGTTTGGGGTACAAAAGGGGTACCCCCCATTTTGGGAAATACCGAGTCGGGGTTCCGGGGCTTTGTTTTTCCCACCCGCCTAGCGCGGGGCTTTAGGGTTGAGGGGTTTAGGTGCCACCCGCAATATTAGTAGCCACCACAGCGCTGGAGGTTTCAGGGCTGAGGGTTTCGGGGGAGGGTCCGGGCTTGCTATGTTCTCCACCTGCTGGCCTGGGGACCCCCCCCCCGCCCCTGGTTCTTAGTAGGGAATGAGGAGAACTAGGTACTGCATATCCCCCTATTATACCGTTAAACAAGGGATATGCAGGTACCTCATTCCCTCACTCCGTACTACCAGGGAGCCACTTGTGACTCTGCTCTCGATGCCAATCACTTCGGTCACTGCCACTCTTCCGGCAACATTGAAAGGGAGCCTCTCGAAACTCGGGACAGGCAAGGGTGAGCGCTGCCACATGGGCCTTCCAAAATGAGGATCCCCTATATCTATATATATATATATATATACTCCCCAAAATGCGATCCTCACCATATGGGCTTGGGCTAGCCGGCCACGGCCGGTTGACCTGCCTCTCCGATCTCGGTGTTCGACTCCCCAAGTATAACTCGGGAGACTGTGGAAGGGGCAGCATCCCCAACTGCGAAGTTTAGGGCCCAGTTAGGGTGGCAGGGTTTAGGGTTTAGGGTGGGTTTAGGGTTTAGGGTTTAGGGTTTAGGGTTGCAACTGAGTCCGGATCCCCTCTTCTCCCGATGGAAATCTTGCAAATGCATGGATGTTGGCCTTTCGGGGCTTTGACGGTTCATGCCAGGTTTAGGGGTTTTTCGACGCCCCGAATAATTCGATCACTTCTAGCAGGCAGGGTGGACGGTATAATCGCGCAAAAGGCCAACACCGTTCCGAATTTGTGCAATGCTCCCTATCAGGAGCGCCTCATCACATGCAAGGGAGCTGTCCTGACAATGTCTGCCCCGCTTCCGCTTGCCAAAAACATGTATAAGAACCAACTCGGATCTCTACATACATGATTTGTGCACACCTTGCTCAAGGACTTCTTTACGCTGACATCTCCCCGTATGGAGTGACTGCAGCAGGAGATGAGGCGCAAACGCAGCATGCCTGTACGTGCTGCTTGACAGGTCAGCATGCCAACTTGTCAGGAGTTCATTACGACTTAGACAACGCTTTCGTCGCTTCTGTGACGGCTATTGCTTCACAAAAACCAGCAGTCCAACGGAGACCCCTCGGTCTTCACCACCCTTAATGACCAGCTCATGCTTTGCACGAGGAGCGCGGGGGCTTGTGAAGGGACATGACAAGAGCCAGGCCGGCGGCGGCCAGGGGGCTAACCGGCAGCAGGGGAAGAGCCAGCAACATCGGCCAGTTTTTTGCACCCGCGCAACCGCCACGGTTCACACCCTTCACACCGCTCACACCACCGCGGCTACGGATCTTTCGTTGAGCAGCCTCGAAGTCCCGATCCAGCGTCCCGAAACGCTCGTAGCATTGACGCAGCTCACGGGAGCCCAGGCCGCGGTGCAAAGAGCACCGGAGCTCCCGGCAGATGACCTTGTAGACCATCGGATCGAGCGCGTCGCCGGAGGCGAACTTCTGAAGTTCATTCGACTCCTCGTAGTTCAGATGGCCGTCTTGGTTCGTGTCAAAAGCTGCCAGGACGATCTGAATCTTCTCATCCGTGCTAAGCTCAGGTTCCGCGTTGGGCTCCTTGGCCTCAGAAGCAGCTGGCGACTGAGCCGGATCCTCGTCGACCACGAGCTCCCCTTGGGACCCTGAAGAAGCTCCTTCTGCTGTGGGATCCTCATCTGCTTCGACCTCCGGAAGCGCTCCATCTGAAACCATTGTCACTGCGCTGGGAGAGGCGTCGGCCTCAGAAGCAGCTGGCAACTGTGCTGGATCTTCATCCGCTGCAATGCCCTCTGGAACCATTGTCATCTCCATGATGCTGCCATCTGCGCTGGGAGAAACGTCGGCCTCAGAAGCAGCTGGCAACTGTGCTGGATCTTCATCCGCTGCGATGCCCTCTGGAACCATTGTCATCTCCATGATGCTGCCATCTGCGCTGGGAGAAACGTCGGCCTCAGAAGCAGCTGGCAACTGTGCTGGATCTTCATCCGCTGCGATGCCCTCTGGAACCATCGTCATCTCCATGATGCTGCCATCTGCGCTGGGAGAGACGTCGGCCTCAGAAGCAGCTGGCAACTGTGCTGGATCTTCATCCGCTGCGATGCCCTCTGGAACCATTGTCATCTCCATGATGCTGCCATCTGCGCTGGGAGAGACGTCGGCCTCAGAAGCAGCTGGCAACTGTGCTGGATCTTCATCCGCTGCGATGCCCTCTGGAACCATCGTCATCTCCATGATGCTGCCACCTGCGCTGGGAGAGGCGTCGGCCTCAGAAGCAGCTGGCAACTGTGCTGGATCTTCATCCGCTGCGATGCCCTCTGGAACCATCGTCATCTCCATGATGCTGCCACCTGCGCTGGGAGAGACGTCGGCCTCAGAAGCAGCTGGCAACTGTGCTGGATCTTCATCCGCTGCAATGCCCTCTGGAACCATCGTCATCTCCATGATGCTGCCACCTGCGCTGGGAGAGGCGTCGGCCTCAGAATCAGCTGGCAACTGTGCTGGATCTTCACCCGGTACGATGCCGTCCGCCTCTGGAAGAAGTCCTTTTGGAACCATTGTCTTCAGAGCTGCTCCTTGAATGTTCTGGTCCTTCCCGACTATCTCGAAGCCTTCGTCCTCATCCTCGAAGTTGACAGCCACCCAGGAACCCAGCGACGTCTCACTGCGAGGTGTGGCGAGTGCTCCTCCGTCGCCGATCTCCAAGCTGAGAAGCCTCGAGGCTGCGGCGAGGTCCAGCGCATCCGAGAGCGTTGTTGGCGTGAGGGTGCACCAGTCGCCCTCCTCATCTCGGTATCTCATAAGGAAGTCGCCTGAAGTGTCGAAGCACTCCTTGACCGCGTCTTGGATGACTTGGAATGACACGTCGGAGGCAGATGCGAACCGCCTGCGGCGCACGTCGCCACCCAAGGAAAGCTTGAGCACAAACTCCATGAGGCGAAAAGTGGGGTGGAAAATGCCTTGTTCTGCTTTGACTGTGGCCAACAGGACAACGCCGTAGTGGCCTCTCTGCTTTGAGCCAACATGCGTTCAGGGCTCAGGCCTCAGGAGTCAGATGTAGTCCGAGGGTTTGAAGGGGGTTCTGAGGCTGAAGGCAAATCACGTGCAAACCGAAGCCTTGGTTGTTCGGAGCTTTCATGTTCTTCTTCTCTTTCGTTCAGAACAACAAGAACAAGGGCAGTAAAAAAAAAGAGTATATATTACATATATATATAGTAAGAATGAAACGAAGCATCAAATGCAACACAAACGCATTCGCCTTTCAATTGGCTGATTCTGTTGCCTGTCTCCTGTACTCTTCAACTGTCTCCGCCACTGGTGACAGCGAACTGTCAAGGTGTTGGGTTTACCGTCTTCTAGGGTTTAGGGTTTACTCTGGCAAAAACGAATCCGGGGATGCAGTAGTTTCACGTACGCCCAGCGCCTTGTCCTCCAACTCTCCTCTTGAGAGTGGCGCCGCCGGTGTGGCCTGCACGACAACTTAAAGCCCAGTGAGCCCCAGACCCCTTAAGTAGCTCGCCCCTGATGGCAAAAAGATGGCCAAAATTCCCTTCAACTGCTGAGCCCCTTCAACAGAAAACGCCACGACCCGCACAGAAGAAGAAATGCGAAATGCTCCCCCCCCTCCCCTCTCTCTCTCTCTCTCACAGACTCAGGTCCCTCAGCCCCGAATCCTCTTGATTCCTCTTCTGACGCCAGCTTGTCAACACACACGAAAACAAACACGGAGACAGAGACCCAAGCCTATACTCCCCTTAGAACCTTAGTCAAAATAGTGTTTTTAATATCCTCTTGGGTTTTACATAAACAAAAACAAAAATATTTCCCAAGGGGGATACAGAAGCCCGAAGCCACCGTAGGCTCCGGAACAGGGAACCCGGAGCTGAAGGCGAAGCCGATGCGAGAGATTGCAAGCCAGAACAAAACAGCACTGCTTCAGTCCGCCATCCCCTTTAAGTGAACTAGAATCCATCGCATCATGCCGTGACTTGTGTCTTCACTTAGTATGTGTACTGAAACCCTGAACCCCACACCCCCTAAACCCTAAACCCTAAACCGCAAACCCCAAACCCTAAACCCCAAACCCTAAACCTTTAACTCCAAACCCTAAACCCTAAACCCTAAACCCTAAACCCTAAACCCTAAACCCTAAACCCTAAACCCTCAACCCCAAACCCGTAGAAAACAACCCAGCCAGCGGCCTTAGGCCTGGCTCGGCTCTTGCCGGTCGGAGCGGCCTCCATTCCGGGGCTGGGAAACTGCGTCTGCGGTTTAGGGCTTAGGGTTTAGGGTTTAGGGTTTAGGGTTTAGGGTTTAGGGTTTAGGGTTTAGGGTTTAGGGTTTAGGGTTTAGGGTTTAGGGTTTAGGGCTTGGGGCTTGGGGCTTAGGGGTCAAGACACTGCTTCGGGTCGGGGCTTAGGGCTTAGGGCTCAGGAACCCCTACCCTGCTCTTGAGGGCTTTGGCGTTCTTATGCCGGTAGGGTTGAGAGGATGAAAGCCCCATTGTCTACTACTTTGATGTAGGTTGAGCAAGACAGGCTTTGTGTCAAACGCTAAATAGATTCGCGAACCACCAAACATTGCTTGAGTTTCATGACATCGAAAAGACGACCCTGACGAGCAATTTATCGACTGCGGGTGGGCAGATGCGTGGCGGTGATACCAGCAGGTCAGTCACTGCAGTATTCCCGCCCTGCCGACGCACCTCCCATTCCAGAATTCATCGCCACAGCCACCATCATCATCATCATCATCATCATCATCATTGGATCCTCATCATCATGCACAAACCTACCAGCATCGTTGTCAATGACCACAGCCCAAATGCTAGCGCCACGCAGAAGCCCACACCACCTTGCCTGAAGCTACGGCACCTTCACAGCTTACCCCCAGACGCCTTAAACCCCGAAGCCTACGCCTGCAGTGCTACCGAGAGGTTTGGAGCTCTGAGAAAGAACCCGCCCACCTCCTTTGGCGCCTCCTCTGGCGCCTCCTCGGGCGCCTCCTCGGGCGCTTCCTTTGCAGCATCCTCAGCCTCGAGGTGATTCTGTGGGCTCACCTGCAAGGGCCGCGGCGGGTCCCCTTCGCCTATTCCGCCTTCCCATCAACATAGACTCCTTATGGCCACCATGGCAAAGGGAGCATGCAACACTCGGAGGTGAGGAGGTCAGGAGGTAGGGGGTTGAATTGGACAGGGAGGCTGCCCAAGATTGTGCGTTTTCGGGCTGCGGTCACCCACACCACCACGAAGTTGGCCCATTCTGCCCTCTGAAAACGACCGCCTACAGGAAGCCCCAGGAGAAAAGAAATAATAACAACATCTTGCAAGGTCTCACCTGGACCACGACCCGCCACCCTGAACCCTAAACCCTAAACCTAAACCCTGAACCTAAACCCTAAACCCTAAACCCTAAACCCTCACCCCGGTTTCAGACCTCGTCACGCTTCCGGCCGCACTTGCGGCAGAACCGCGAGCCGTCCAAGTACGTGTTGCCGCAAGCCGGGCAGGTGGTGTTCTGCCAGGGGTTTGTTTAGGTTTAGGGTTCAGGGCTGAAGGGTTTAGGGTTTAGGGTTCAGGGTTTAGGGTTTAGGGTTTAGGGCTTAGGGTTTAGGCTTAGGGCTTAGGGCTTAGGGCTTAGGGCTTAGGGCTTAGGGTTTAGCGCTTAGGGCTTAGGGTTTAATAGGTCTTTGGGGGGGGGGGGGGGTGGGTGGCTTAAATAGGGTCTATTTGGAAGCTGGGACTCGGGTTTTCTTATAGCCATACACGTTTCCACGAGGGTACGCTGCTGTCACGTCAGTCGTACTATGGAGGCCTCAGGAACAAGAACCAGGTAGTTCCTCTTTTCTCTTCTCTTTTTCTCCTCAATCCTAAAGTCGAAGGCTCTCGTGAGGAGAAGAGAAGGGAGAGAAGGAGGGAAAGATAAGAGGAACACGATTTTCATGGGAAGAGCCAAGAAAAGAATAGAAGAGAGATAAAACAAGGCGCAAAGAAGATGGTACTCTTCTTTATCTATCCTCTCTCCCTTATCTCTCCGTTCCCTCTGTCTTTTCGAAATGAGAAAAACAAAAAGAAAGATGAAAAGAAGAAGGGTTAGGAAAAGAGCCGAAGAGATAGGCCGAAAAGAGGGGTATGGTGAAGTACGGCAAAGGTCCACGCACAAGGAGTCACCTTCTGCTTACCCTTCCACTGCTTGATTTTACAAGCTCCTTTCTTGTGTTTTATCAGTTAAAATTAAAAGGAAACAGAAGGAGAGAAGGGAAAGGGAAGTGAGAGAGGAGAGACAACAAGGAGGCCATTTTAATTTCCTGTGAGTTATCAAAAGGAATGCAATATTATGGGAAGAGCAATGGAAAAAAAGAGTGGAAGAGAAATTAAGACAGGAGAGGGAGGTGCAAAAATAAGGCAAAGAGAAGATGGTGCCGTTTTCATCTCACCTCTCGTTCTTATCTTCCTCTTCTCTGGTTCTTTTCCCTGTGAAATAAAAAAACAAAAGGAAGGACAATGAACATATAAAGGAACCCGTTTTCGTTTTCCGTTTGGGCACAAGGAAAAAAAACAGAGGCGATAGGGCGAGAGGAGGGGTTTGCTGAAGCATGGGGAGGGTGTACGGGCAAGGGGCCAACTCCGCCCACTTCCCCCATCCATTGAAAGAGGAAAAGGAACAGGGCCTCCATTCCCCTCTTATTCTTCCTTTCTTGCGTTTTTGTCGTTTAGAAGGGAACAGGAGAAGAGGAGGGAGAGAGAAGGAGAGAGGAGACATAAAAAGGGTTGCATTTTTAATGGGAAGAGCAAAGAAAAGACCAGAAGAGAGATG